AAGCAACCAAGAATTATAGGGATTCGAGCCATCGAGAGAGTGCCAAGTCCTTGAAAAATGACGAGTCCTCAACATCCTGTCGTGGGGGAGAGAAGAAGCGGGAAGACAGATTATAAGACTCCAAAGATTATAAGGGGCCCACTAGTCGGTTTCACGACTATACCCTCTGACCACCTCGAGGGAGCATATTCTGACCGAATGCGCCAACTCAAAGTTCAAATAGAATGGGGTGCACTTTCCTCGTCAGACGTCTACCAAGCCTGGAACCGACAAGAGCAAGTACGGTAGGTTCCATAAAAGCCATGGTCATAACACCGACGATTGCATCCATCTCATGGATGCAATCGAGATACTGATCTGAGACAGGAACCTCAAGCAGAATAAGAAGAAGAAAGAGGGTGCCCGCGAGGAGCCTCTAGAAACCAAGAGTATCAAAGAGGGGGAGGAGTCCCCCAACAACGGCATCATACTGGTCGCCATGAGCATCACGCGACCAGAAGATTTCTACTTCCCGGACATGGAGGATGTCCCCCTATACTTCTCCTCACATAGTCACTGGGAGTTTTTCCCCGCTGCTATAGTCATCTGCGATGGAGGATTCAATAAGCACACGGTGGGGTCCGTAAAGAGAAGGTTCGACCAGTTATCAAAGCCAACTCTGACATGGTTTTATTCTACCCTTGACAAGTTTAGGGGAGGCTCTCATCCCCTCGCATTCTACCGAGTGGAACTGTCAGGTGGAGCTCCTAACTCGATCATCCCAATGCTCATGTGGGCTAGCCTAGCATACTTCGATGTTTGGCGCATCTTGGTCGATCAAGGAAGCTCGGTGGACATCGTGTACACCCAACTGTTCACCATCCTTCAGTTGAACGAAACCCACCTGACCTTGTACCTGGGCTTGGACCTCTAGGGCATCAATGGGGCCAGCACCAAACCCTAGGGGTATGTCAAACTAATTGTCACCTTCGGGAGAGGAGTGACCACCAGAGGCATCAAGACTCAGTTTCTAGTAGTGTACTGCATGTCTCTCTACTAATGTATCTTCGGGAGGCCCACCCTAGTCAAATTGATTGCGATGCCCTCCACCGTGCACCTTAAGATGAAATACTACATTGCCGAAGGCTTGGTCTCCACCCTCCACGGGAACGTTCAGGCAAAAAAGAGGTGTTTTAAAGCTTCGGCCAAGGGCCTGAGTTCCAACAACGCTCAACTTTGAACGACCACCGGATCCGCCTTGCCCTCCAGCTCCGAGGAGCCCAAGCCAGTGCCAAGGGTCAACACCATCAACCTCGATAACTGCTTCTCCAAGGAAGATTACGCAGAGCAAAGGAGAAAGGGGAAGGAGCCCATGGTCAAAGGGGATAACTCATCCCTGACTACAGACAACGAGGAACCTTCAGATCCCATGCGGCCTATTCCAGACGGGGACTTCGAAACCATCCCCTCGGGAACGATCGGAGCCGACCTCCCTGACCTGGCAAAGAGGCAACTTAAAGCTTGCTTAAGGAAGAATGTTGATCTATTCGCCTGAAGCGCAACTGAAATTCCCGAATTGGACCCAGAGATTGCATGTCACCATCTGACCATAGATCCTGCCTATAAGGCAGTTGCTCAGCGTAGGCGAAAGCAGTCTCCTGAAAAGACGGAGGCTGCCGAGCAGGCTGTCAAAGACCTCCTAGAGGCACATTTTATTTGTGAAACCCAGTACACAACCTGGCTCTCAAATGTAGTTCTCGTTAAAAATATAATGAAAAATGGCATATGTGCATTGATTATACCAATCTTAACCGGGCTTTTCTGGAAGATGCTTACCCCCTCCCCAATATCGATAAACTGGTCGACAACTCAGTCACTTTCAAATTATTATCTTTCATGGATGCATATTCTGGATACAACCAGATTCCCATGGCGAAAATGGATAAAAAACATATCGCTTTTATGACTGAATCGGGCAACTATTACTACAACGTAATGCCATTCGGCCTAAAAAACACGGGCGCTACATATCAGCGCATGATGAACAAAGTTTTCTGCAATGAGATATGCGACATGCTCGAAGTCTACATGGACGACATGATCGTCAAGTCGATAGAAGAGGATGACCATGCCCTCCACCTGAAGAAAGTCTTCGAGCAGGCCATGAAATGTCAGATGCGCCTTAACCCAAAAAAATGCACCTTTGGTGTACGGGCGGGAAAGTTCCTCGGGTTCTACCTCACGGAACGAGGAATCGAGGCTAGCCCCGACAAATTTTGAGCATTTTCTGAGTTTTCAATACCCACTTAAAAAAATCATTCAAATCCTGAACGAAATTCTCACTTCACTCTCCCGCTTCGTGGTGAAATCCTCCCAACACGCGCTTCACCTCTTCAAACTTCTCTACCAAGAAGTTGTCTTCGAATGGACGGATGAATGCGAGCAAGCTCCCACCCACCTGAAGCAAGAACTTCCACAACCACCCATCCTTTCTTAACCAGAGAAGGATGAGATCCTCTATCTCTATCTGGCTGTAACCTTTGAAGCAATAAATGTTGCACTAATCCGAGAAACCCCAGAGGGGGAGAAGCCTATCTACTTTACGAGCAAAACCTTACAGGGTGCCGAAGTAAGATACCAGCAAATCAAAAAAGTGGCCATAGCCCTCATCAATGCAGCGAGAAGGCTCAAACACTACTTCTTGGCACATACCATAGTCATTCAGATAGAGCAACTAATAAAGCAACTGCTCCGTAGGCCTGATATGGCGGGAAGGATTCTAAAATGGTCGTTAGAACTCTCCGAATTTGACATCCAGTATGAAGTCAGGAAATCCCTTAAAGCTCAGGTGCTGACCGACTTTGTGGTCGAAATGACTTCTCCCACACCCCCGGATGGGACGCGCCGGTGGATAATCTTTATCGATGGTACCTCCAGTTCAACGGGAAGCGAGATGGGCATCATCCTAGGGAACAAGGAGGGGATCCTAATCGAAGTCTCCCTCGCGTTATCCTTCCCAACTTCCAACAACTAGGCCAAATACGAGGCATTCTTAACAGGGTTATGCCTGGATGAAGATTTGGGAGCCAAGGAGGTGAAGATCTTCACTGAATCTCAACTCGTTGCATCCCAGGTCCGAGGGGAATATCAGGTGAAAAACGATCACCTCGCTGAGTATTAGGCCCTGGTCCAAGAAAGAAAGAAGAAACTCAAATCCGTGGACGTGCAATATGTTCCCCGCGAACATAAAGCTCGAGTAGACATCTTGTCAAAACTAGTGAGCACAAAAAGGAAAAGAGGGAATAAGTCGGTGATACAGAAAATTCTTCCTCGACCGAGCACTCAGAAATCTCCCTCGACTTTGGAATTATTCGCCATAGGAGACAACGACTGTTGGATGACCCCTGTACACAACTACCTCACAAAAGGGAGCTACCCGCCGACTCAAAGGAGGCGGCCGTGGTGGGACGAAGAGCCTGCTTCTACGTCCTGGTCGAAGGCAAATTGTACATAAAAGGGTTTTCCATTCCCCTCCTCAAATGCGTTAACCGAAGCGACGCGGATCACTTCCTGCTCAAAATCCATGAAGGGATAAACGACCAACACTTGGGCGGAAGATCCCTCGTCAGGAAAGCTCTGTGAGCGGGGTATTACTGGCCCACCATGCAACACGATGGAAAAGAGCACGTAAAAAAATACGACAAGTGCCAACGGCACGGGGACATGCATTTAGCTCCCCCGAACGATCTCAGGTCCCTCTCTTCCCCCCGACCATTCTTCTGGTGAGAGTTAGATCTCCTCGGGCAGTTCGTGGTAGGTACAAATCAAAACAAATACTTAATAGTGGTCGTCGACTACTTCACCAAATAGATAGAGGCTGGAGCATTGGTAAAAATTACAGCCCAAAACGTTCCGCGCTTCTACAAAAGAAACATCCTTGCTCGGTTTGGCGTTCCGCAAGCAATCGTCACCGATAATGGAACCAAGTTCACAAACCAAGCCTTTTAAGAATTTGTCGCCAAGTTGGGAACCACCCAACACTTCTCCTCTGTCGAGCATCCCCATACGAACGACCAAGTCGAGTCCGCGAACAGGGTGATACTCACGAGTCTTAGGCGAAGATTAGACGAAACCAAGAAAAGATGGGTTGAGGAGCTGCATAGTGTACTCTAGGGCTACCGAACAACAACACACTCATCCACCGGGGAAACTTCTTTCTGACTAGCTTACGGAACAAAGACTGTCATCCCCATAGAGATCTATAGGAACCCTACAGGCAAACCGAAGCTCCCCTAGACAAGGAGATGAACGACGTCGCCCTACGGGAAGAACTAGATCTGGTCGAAGAAATCCGAACAGGAACAGCTCTACGAGAGACCTCTCTCAAACAAAAAATAGTCATGCGCTACGACACCAAAATCACACGACGAGAGTTCGAGGACGGCAGCCTTGTCTTGAAGAGAAATCGCAAAGAATCTCGCGAAGGCAAACTCGCAGCAAATTGGGAAGGTCCCTATCACGTCTACGCAAAAACCGAGACTGAGACGTACTACTTAAAAAATCTATAAGGAGAACAACTTACTCGACCGTGGAACAAATCGCAAATAATTCTCTTTTCTTTTTTTAACATACGTTTTTCTCATCCATTATAATAAAGACATCGATAAATGTCCATGCAAAATAACAAGATTTCCATTAGTTGAACATCAACATCGCATACCAAACAAATCTACCAAAATTAGACTTGAGGATGCATGAATATCACAACTTGTTGTAACTTGTTTTATTCTAGCCCCTACTTTCAGTGTCAGCTCAAGTTACTACTTACCTAAACCAAAATAAGCCCACATGCAAAAGTGAAATCCCTAAAAACAAAGGAACACACTTTCATACCAACGTAAAAAAATCCAAGCAAAGTAACCAAATTTTCCTTAGTTGAATATCAACATCATATAACGAACGAAGCTATAGAAGTTATATTTAAGGATCCATCTTCTCCCTACTCTCAGAGTTTGATACCAATGGCTATTATAACTTCCCACTTCGCCATTGTCAAATCCACCGTTCATTTTCCATGCATGTCAAATCAACACCGTTCTCTTAAGCCCACCGCCGTCAGAATGTCTATGAAGCAACAAAGTCGCAACTCACATCCTTATTGGGCTTCCATGCAGGCCGACATCGAAGCGCATATCAAACAATTCATCACCATCAAAGAACCTCTCGTGGTTTTTGAGCCCATGCATCACCTTATTATCAATGCCCCGAAAACCACCCTACCGGCTTTATGCGTCGCCGCATGCGAGCTTGTCGGAGGTGAACGTCACGAAGCTATATCCGCTGCTTCAGCTTTGTTAATAATGGAGGCAGCTACTTATACTCACGAGCATCTTCCACTCACAGATAGGCCCAAGCCCGAGTTCGGGATGAATCATGTTTATGGGCCTAACGTGGAGCTTCTAACTGGCGATGGAATTGTACCGTTTGGATTTGAACTGTTAGCTAGATCCGACGGTGGAGAAAATTCGGAGCGGATCTTGCGGGTGATGGTTGAGATCTCACGGGCTGTGGGCTCAAGAGGGGTGATAGAAGCGCAGTACAGGAAAGCCATGGGTAGTAGATCGGACGGTGAGGAGATGTGCCACGTGGAAGAAATCAGGCGTGTGGTGGAGAAATATGAAGGTGGGTTGCATTCGTGTGGAGCAGTATGTGGAGGTGTGTTGGGTGGGGGAAGTGAAGAGGAAATTGAGAAATTGAGAAAAATTGGATCGTATGTTGGAATGATTCAAGGAATGGTACAAAGGGGATTCTCTGGAAGTAAAGAAGTGGATGAGGCAAGGAATTTGGCAATAAAGGAATTGGAGTTTTTTAAGGATAAAGAGGTTGATGCAATTAAAACATTCTTGAACGTTTAAATCTCTTGATTATACTTACTATTATATGTATTAATTAATAAATAATTTCCCTTCCATCCCAAAATAAATGTTTCACTTTATAAAATCATTTGTTCCAAAATAATTCTTTTTGAATTTTTGACAAAGTAATAATAATCATTAGAATTTCACACATACTATTGTCAATATCATTTATAAAAGCTAATTTAACAATATCAATTAATATTTTATTCTATAAAAATAAATAAATAAGATGTAGTGAATTTGATTTCGCATTTATGAATTTGAATGTTTTTCAAACTATTAATTACCATCTATAATTGATAAACATAACATGTTTTCGATAATTTAACCCAGTCAATTTCCACGTGTGAATTTATAATATTATTAATCAATTTTAGCACGTGACGTCATAATATTATTAAAATAAGTGAGTTGGTATTTTACAAGTTAATTTGCAACTTTAACAACCATGGTTAAAACAAATTATTTATAAATTTTAATGTAAAATAAATTTTAGGATAGACCGCATTCATATCCTTCTGATCTTGCGGAGGAAGTCATCCAGGTGGGGGACCACGTGCGGGTCTCCACTACTCACGTAAGACCTGGCAGTATCCACTTTGGGCCTGCTTGACCAGCCCAATAAGGAGACCTTGGTCCAACACTGAGGGCTATAAATACTCTTTCTTTCGAGAGAGTCAGGTATTGAACATTTCTTACTCTCTTACTTGCTTGCTCATTCTGAATCTCACTTTGGCGCCAGAGTGTCTTGAAGGTACCCCCCACCTCACTCTCAAGTTCTGCTCGACGTAAGTTGTGACGGTCCATTCTGGTCAGGTACGATCAGTGGCGTCGTCTGTGGAAATCACAGCTTCCCGGTCTTTCATTCATCCAAGACAAAAGCTAATCCAACTCCTTTTTGACTGTCATGGTTGATCTCACGGTAGAAAATAACCTGAATGTCCATTCCGCCAACGTCAACAACAACGTTGCCAACCATAACACCGGCATCAACAACGCTAGTCCCGTTGGCCTCAATGCCGGTAACATTAACAATACCGGCAACAACAACAACGGCCATGCCGTTGACATGCCTGGACCCTCAGAGTATAGAGACGGACTGACTGCCTCTTTGTCATCATTGTCCCGACGACTCAAAGACGATCATCGTCCTCTCTAGAACTATCAGCTGCCTGCGTTCCAGGAAGTCCATGTTCCCGCGGGTGTCGATGCCACGACCAGGGCACTGTTCGCGTGGTCGTGGCAATAAATCAAACAAACTACTTGATCTTTTTGTAAGGGGAGAGATTAAGGGTGCTCGAAGATTCTCGGAGAGCTCCCAGAGGACATATGAGGCCTGATTCTCCTCCTCCCCGTCAGATAGAGGACCGTTCCCAATCTCCCCCGCAGAGACGCAAACGACATGCCTCTCGAAGGCCCTCTCCTCGATGAATTGGGCGACGCCCCGCGTTGGAGAGGGATCATCCCGTAGATACGGGGAGACGTGATCACGTCCCCCCCCCCCCCCCCCCCCCCCCCCCGCGTCAAGAGAAAAGACCCCCTGGAAACAAGAACATAGGATATGACGAACGACCACACCGCCCAAGGGATTCTCCGTGCGACCAGAGCCACCATCACGATCTCCATTACAACAGGTCGCCTTCTTAATCTCCAGACAGAAGTGACGAAGATGACCCCTATGGTCCCCTATCCCAGGCCATTATGGAGGCACCCATTCCCCCGGGTATGGAGAAACCTCCCCATCTGAAGGAGTACAACGGTATTACCGATCCGGTCGACCATGTCGGCGGGTTTGAGGCAATGATGCATTATCATAATGTCGGAGGACTGATAAAATGCCGGTTGTTCCCCACGACTTTGAGAAAGACTATGATGGACTGGTATAAGAGCCTCTCCCCGGGGTCAATTACATCCTGGAGAAATTTAAAAAACCAGTTCATCAGTTCATTCACTGCCTCACGTAGACATCCAAAGACTGAGGCAGCCCTCGAGGCCATTGCCCAAAGAAATGACGAGACCCTCAGGGAGTTTATTGATCGGTTCAACCGCGAGGCCATTCAGGTCCCCTTCACCTATCATATGAAGAGATACCTACTCGAGAGAGGACTCTTCCCGGGCACGGAGTTCAGAAAATCCGTTGGCATCGAACCACCGCAAACATTCGATGCTCTCCTTGAGAAGGCTAGGGCCTACATGGACTATGAGGAGAGGGAAGCGGCCAATAGAGTCTGCGACCCAAAGAATCATGGATCAACCAGCAATCTGTGACAACAAGATTCAGGCCCTCCTTGACGAACGGGCGAGAAGAGGAGGGATGATAAACCACATGATCCTCGCGAGCAAAGAGGGCCCGCCTGGAGATTTACTGAGTATACTCCGCTGACAGCTTCCCGCGAGCGCATCTTGGTAGAGTGTGCTAATACTGATTTAAAGGACGGCGGCGTCAGACGTCCTCGCTATGCTCCTGCTAAGCCCAGAGCTGATCGGAGCAAATACTTCCAGTATCATCGAAGTCATGGACACCTGAATGAAGATTGTGTCCATCTCAAAGATGCTATAGAGACCCTCATTAAAGGGGGAAGCTCGGGCAATATCAGCACGACGACGACCCTCGTCGAGATGCCTGCTGTTGTACCCAAAAATTTGTTCTCTCATTTCTCAAGAAATCTCTCATAAGATCTCAATTGATTCAAGACTACACAAGGTTTGATCAGCTCAAGGCACCTCCTCAAACACTGACAACTCAAAATTATGGTTTGAGTTTTCACAAGGACAATTGAACTTATAATGCCCCATATGACTTTCATGGATCATTAGGAACCCTCAATATTGCTCATGTCAAGTTTCAAGTCTTGGATCATATTTTTGCTCAGTCAGTTGATCAGATGACCTAAAATCAACTATATTGGATAAAAAGTCAACTGTAGTCAACCTACAGTCAAACTTCATAATTTTTTATCCATATCAACATGGTGAACTCATATATGTCAATTGATCAAGTTTTGATCATAATTCCTCAAGAAATTTGATCAGATCATCAAAAGTGAAAAATGGTCAAAATTAGGATTTTGACTGAGGAGGTTCAATTTTTTACTTTTGACCTAACAAATGACTTATTGGTTCAAGACATGATCTCAAGGATACAAATGCACCATCTTGACCTAATTGCATAGTTCAAATCACCTCTCAAGATCTTTGGATTGACAGATGAATTTCAGTCAACTGATGAAAAGTCAACTATACACTGAAAAGTCAAACTTTGACTTTTTGATCAAAATCAAGTTTCAAAAATCATATTTCATCAAGACATGTCAAAATATGAAAATTTTTCATCAAGAAATCAAAATTCATTTTTGAAAAGTCAAAATTTCCAAGACAGAATTTTTCGAAGTGTTGGAAAGTTAACTTTTTTTTCATAACTTCGTGCCAAATTTCCACCATGATGCAAGATGAATCAAGGGAAACTTACAACATGAAAGTTGTAGATATCAATTAGATCTAAAACATTGCAGAGCATAACCTTTTCTAGCAATGCTTTGATTTCAAGTTATGAATTCATGAAGACATGCTCATGAAACTAAATGACTTAGTGAAAATTTGCCCTAGTTAGGCAGGATTTTGACCTAACTTCATGGCAACTTTTCACCTAGTTTCAAATTGATTCTTCAAAAATATCCTACATAAAGGTTGTAAAGGATGTTACAAGCTTTCCAAAATGTCCAAGAACTCATTGATAGCATACTTGAGCTAAGAGAATCGAAGGCCATAAGTTAGGGTTTCAAACTTGATTTACAAGGCATATTTTGTGATGAACATGAACCAAATCCATAGCCATGCTGCATAATATTCACTTTGCAGGCCTCAAACTTGTTTTTTACTCCATAATTAATGGTTTACACAACTGTTTAGACCCTTATCCAAGTGTTTGAAGCTTTGTCCAAAATGATTTTCCATTTATGGCACAAAGTTGCCATTTCCATTTTGATAAAGCATCACTTTTGCAATTGTCAACTTCTTGAGCCTTGCACTTGTTCTTTCTGCACACAGAACCCCTATAAACCAAAAGCAACATGTCTAAGGCCTCTATCAACTCAGACCATGCTTGTACAACACTTTGAGATTTGTCTTCTCACTTTTCTTCAAAAGCAAGTTATAGAGCCAAAAGGCTAGAATTCAGAAACCTTGAGTGCATTTGATCTCTAACCTTTTCCATACATATACACAAGTCTATTACAACAGAAGGCACGAGCTCAAGCACCCCAAAACACTCCCAAGCACTCTGCAACTTAGAATCTTCCATAACTTAACAGTTTTGAGCTTCACATAGCCATCTCAAAATTCACTCGTGCGTATTGAGTTTTAACCATCCAAACACTTAATATACATCATATCAAAGTGATTCAGACCCTTGTTTCTGGACTGTAACTCCCTTTGCACCATTCATCATTTTCAAAACTCAAGCTTGCAACTTGACTTGAGTAGAGAGTTTCAGCCATCCTCAAAACAAAGTAGGAGTTGGAACACACTCAAGGAGGTCCAGGCAAGCTAAAGAGATCATCAGGCCATCTCAAATTTTGTTCAAACTCCATACACAAACCCAGCTGCAAGAGGTAAGTTTTCAAACTTCAATATCTTGATACAAGTATTTTTTGCATACATTATGAAGTAAAAACGTAGATATCATTGCCCTAAAGCTGTACATATCCATAGTTTTCATTTATATGGCCCGAGCTTAGAGAATTTTAAGTTTGAATCTCTGAAAAAAGTTAGGTCAGGATTTGGTACTTTTAGAAACACATGCTCATCTTTGATTGTTAGTCTAAATTGTTTACATTTTTGGAATCCTGGTAAAATTTCTAACAAGTTTGATGTTGGAAGTATTGAGAATGGATGAGAAATGAATGAGTTACAGGGATCATGGATGGAGGTTGAAGATGAAGTCATTTCTAGGACTGGATTTGTGTTATATACTTATGGTTTTGTTTAAGTTAACAGAT